TGATGACTGACTTATATACCATCCTATAGCCTTCATCCAGCAGCTGGTCGAAGCAGAAGCAGACACCAGCAACTAAACACTGAACTGAAGTGGAATCCAAGTGCAGAGAAGGAGGCCGGATGAGCAAAGAGTTCCAGACCAGGCTGATAAAACCCACAGAAACAGCTGACCAGAACAAGGGGGAGTTCTTGATCCCCAGACTGATAGCTGGGAAATCAGCATGGGACTGATCCAGAACCCCTGAACGTGGGTGTCAGTGAGGAGACCTCGGAAATGCATCGGGCCTCCTGTAGTCGATCTATTCTTATCCCTAGCATAGGTATGGACTTTGGGATCCCATTCCACATAGAAGGATACTCCTTGAGCCAAGACACACGGGGGTGGCCTAGGCGCTATCCCAAAGGACATGACAGACTCTTAAGACCCCCTATGGCAGTCCTCATCCTCCAAGGGGAGAAGAAAGGATATGTGATAGGTAGAGTTTTAGTTGGGGGTGGCAAGGAAGGAGGGGAGGGAGAGGGAACTGGGATTGACATGTAAAACAATCTTGTTTCTAATTCAAATAAAAAAATGGAAAAAATCAAACAAACAACAGGAAATAAAGTTTCAACATGGAAGCTTAAAAAAAATCACCTAGGTGACACACCTGTGGTTGTTCTTGGGAGGGTATTTCCAAAAGAGTTAGCTGGGCAGGGGTTTAGGAAGTACAGGAAAGAGGAGCCCAGATTTTTGGATTCTTCTTACTATTCATTTTGCAGAAACCATATGGCAATTATATGCTTATTTTCAGAAATTAATTTATGCTAAAATTTTATACTTCAAATAGTTATCTAATTTAATATAATATTTCACTGCAATGTTGTATTATATAAATTACTCATTTTTAAAATTTTGAGTAGCTTTTATTAAAATTGTTCTGTGACAAATATATATATATAGTATTCTTATTACTGTGCTGCACCCAATCCTCTCTAAACTTTTCAACTATATTTGCCATACACCACTTCCTGCTGGTCCTGTTACCCCATTCATATCTTTTGTTACAATTATTTTCATTTATTGATCATGAGGGTGGTGTCTTATACATGCCACTACATGCATGTGGAAACCAGAGAACAATTTTACAGGATTTAATTCTCTTCTTCCATCATGTTGGTCTTTGAAATTGAACTCCGGTCATCAATTATTGGTAGCAAGCACCTTATTAAGTCATCTTAGTGGCTCCTCGTGTATTTGTTTTGTTATGATTTGCTGAGCTTAAGTGGGATAATCTTTGTGACTATGAGTTAGAAGCTAGCCATTTGAGCCTGGTGAGCTCATCAGCAGTTATGTAACTGAAGACATTGTGCCCTCCCCCCCCACACCTGCAAACCGTTCAGTAGCCAATAATTGAGCAGGTAGAGGTAGGACCACATGAGTCTGTCCCTAACCCATAATTTCTTGTTGACAGGCCTGGTCTTGTTCATATCATGATCACATTGACTATATATCCTGCCCACAAGACAGCATTTTAGTTTCTGTTTCTGTCATCCCATTCTTACATTTTTTTCTGCCCCCTCTTCCACAATGGTCCCTAAGCCTTAGAAGAGATTATATAAATGCCTGTTTATGGCTGAAATTCAACCATCACTTATTCTCTCTCCTTGAGTACCCTAGGAACTCTGTATTCACCCCCTTTTATCTCAAGGAGAAGCTTTTCTGGTTAAGGCTAAGAGTAGTATTTGTCTAAGATTATAAGCATAGATAGCTTTAAGCCTCGAAAATTTAACTAAATGATAATAGTAAGCTCAACCTTGGAACTTGATCCATGGGAATTTTACTGGGTTTAAAGTACCAAGGAGGGATTATTTCTTGTGGATCAAGCCTCATATAAAACCAGAGATTTGTTGGTTAGTCCTCAAACAATTGTGCCACTAGTGTATCAGTTGATACTCCTTACCTGGTAGGTTGGTTTTGTAGCTTGTAATGTTCATAGATGAGTGAGATCATTGATGTCTTCACTACCCCAGTGGCCAACATAACACTTTTCAGGCCTATGACAACTCGCAGCAGGAAAGAAACCGGTAGCTCATTTCCAGCTTGATTTCTCTGTATCATGAAATCAGGGTGTGTGGGGACTTCAGCAATGGGTTCTTATCAAACTAGCTTCTGGTGGCAACCAAGAGGAATGCCAAGAGACCGTATTATGCTTATGGGGGCCTCTGACGTCTCCCTGACAAACATCTCATAAAGTGGTATTTTACAACTAACATTGGAGTTTTTGCTTAAAAACCATCACTTTTAGGAGCAGTATTATCCAGCCCTGCAGGATTCCCTTTCTCTCACTCTCTTAGCAAGGTGGTACTTTTCATGTGACATTTTCATACACCTTTTGTTTAGGGTAACTCTTCCTCCCTCCCCACTTCATCTGTACTTTCTTCTTTATTCCATGAATCTTGGGTGTTTGAAATCAGTTCTGGCAGCAGGTGCCTTTAAACATCACTATTGTTTATAAACAGTTTGCAACTGATCTTCTATGCATTTTACTGCACATACTAAACAAATCATAAATCAACACCCAAACATTGTAGCAAATATTGGAGACAATGAATGTCTGTAAACTGCTGAATTAATGAAATTGGATATAAGAAATAAGTTTTTCCTTATGGTCATCAGGAAGGGGCATCAAAGAAAAAATGCAATGCATAAGGAGAATTACCAGAATTATAGGGGAAAGTATTTAGAGAATATAAATCATATTTGTAGTGTTTTCTTATAATATAATAACAATGCTATCAAAATGATACATAGATTTACACAAACATTTATTTTTTATGTGGGAAAATCAATAGTCAGATTTCATGTGTGCCCGGCCTATTTTAAAAGGGTTTTCTAGTTCTTCATAAGCTGAGTATTTCTTTTCTTTTGGAGTATAGGTTGCTCTCAGGGGCCCAGATGTGGAAACATCCTGCAAAGAAGTTAAAAATATCAAAGTAATTGCATGACATTTAATGAAATACCTAAGTTTGTTTACATATGCCAATGTATTAGAAAATTAGGCATGTATTATGTGTCATTTTAGAAAATTGTTTAGTTCCTATTATAAGTTCACAATTATTTAAAATAATAAACTATTTCTTTTAGTAGATTAATGTAAGCACCTTTTAAATAGATAATAAATACATGTACTATAATTCTCCTAAACTACCTCAGATACTGTGCAACCCAGAATCTCTTCACTACAGTAATAAACAACAATACATATGTAAGAAAAACACATAGTTTTGTGATATTATAGTCCCAACATTCATTTTGTTACAAGATGAATTTTAGTACATCCCTGAATTAGTCTCCTAGCATTTAATCAGTTCTCATTGGTTTCAAATCTGCTTTCTAATAATTGCAAATGTAAATATTTTATATATAAATTACAGTGTACACATTAATAAAACATGCTACATTTATTTATATATACATTAATGTGTATTATATATTATGTATTCTATATCTGTGACTCCCATTTACCCATCGCATTTACTGAAATAGTAGGTATAGTGATTCATTTAAAGTCAACTTTCTAGACCTATATCTGAATTGATTTTGTTATATCATTTAAGCATAATGAACGCCAATGTTCACTATGTCATCTTTACTAGAATTGTGATGATGATGACCATAAATAGAAATTGAAACATTTTTACATACAAAGGTTGGCTTCATGTGTGTGGTTGACAAATAATTGCTCCCATAGTTTACAGCAGGCTTAGTTGGTCCCAGAGAGACATCCCAGTTTGACTTCTTGAGCAATATAGCTGTTTTAAAAATAAAAATAGAATATTTTAAAATATGAAATATATGATGTTGAAGTATTATAATGTAAAAGGCTATTGTGACTATATTCTATATGAAATGAAGTTATGTAGAATTCATTAGATTGAAACGAGGCATAATGAAGTAATGGTGTATTCATAAGCTAGAATGCACTAAACCATTTTTTCTTTTAATTATATTACAAAACCTAGAGGCTTGATAGGGAATAGTTTCTATGTTCTTTCTCATAATGCCTACAAAATTGTGATGCCTAAATGAGAAGCACGGCATTAAAAGCTCTACAGTTTAATTTTGATCACTTCTGAGTTTTTCCTCAGGAAATATGCTAATGAGCTATTTTTTTGCTGACAAAAATACCATTATATAGATATGCACAGTTGGAAACAGTGTTATCTCTATGTCTTCTTGTCTCTGCAACTTTGTCTCCTACCAAAAGAGAAAAGGAATATACAAGTTTAAACTGTCCAAATCAATTATTTCCAAATGAAATACTCTTGACTTTCTTTTTCAGTATTTGTATTTTTTTACTTTTCAATTCCCATTTATAGGATAGACAACTTACTTGGAATTCGTTCTGGATAATTGTGATGATGGAGAAAAGGAACTTCTGGAGAAAGCTTCCTGGTGGGATAGATTCCAAGGATTCTTTTGTAAGACAGAAAAATGGTTAGTCATGATTTTAAGGAAATGTAAACTACAGTGTATAGTTGCTCACATTGCATCTCCATGCTAACATGTAAGTAACATGATAGTTCTAAGCCACTTTCTACTATATAACAAGTGAATAAAAGTAAGTAAAGATATTAGGAATTTGGCAAGCATCTATTAATGTAGCTATCTGCTAACTATCATCTGTCTGTCACCCATCTAGTGATAGAGAATAGTATTCTGAAGATGTGTAAATGGGAGTTACACTTCAGGCACAATCTAAGCATTAAGCAATGCTTTTAATCAAAGATTGAATTTAAGCCCATCTTTCAACTGTCATAATGTGAAAAACTTCATAGATAAAACACAGATGACAATACCTTGAGGAGAGAAAATTTTGGTTGAATACAGAACTATAGCATCAGACAGCTACAGAATACTGTAACGAATTTTTAAGAAAAAGACAATCCTTGCAAATCAATTGATAAAAACCAAAATACTCCAAATGCATGCACAAGGACTGAATTGTAACAGTATGGTTTTTGAAGCAAGATATTCACATTTTAGTAAAGACATGAGGCATAAAAGTGGATGCAAGTCTACACAGAAACTACTCTTTTAAGCACATATGCTATGCATACAGGTATAACATTGTGTTGTGGCTATTAGACAGCCATTTCAAAATCAAGAATAATTTTACATAGCCATTTTGATACAATTAATTTGACAATGGGAAGATTCAGATAGTATATAAAGCTACACATGTACTTTGACATTGAAATGTTTAAATGATGTGAAATATACATGATGATCCATCACTGGGTTTTAGGTCTTGTGCACAACCATCCTAGAGGGGTAAAGAATCTTAGATGAATAATATTAGAGATAAGAAAGAGGTGAAATTTCATTTGAAAAATCCTATAGACAAAGAAGACTGAGACTGACCCTGTATTTTTCCTTCATTGTTTAAAAATTTCTTTTCTGTCTCTGGGCCTTTTTTCTGCTTTGACTTCAAAAACATCCTCAGGAAGAAATAAAATGCAATGATGAAACACAAAAGGAAGGCCATAACTCCTGAAAGTACTCTGATGAACCTTGGTCAGAAAGAAGAGCATATATCCATAACCTTTCTTGGCTACTCTTTGATTTCACCAAGGGCAGAATCATGCATGTCAGGGTATTCCATGTCTCATGTCTTAAAGAAGGAACCTTTCTTCTTATGGTGGGCTTAAATCCTTTGGTTCATGACTTTTCCTCTATCAGGCCAGAGGGCACAGTGAATTTCTTGTGGTAAAAGTTTAGACTCGAGGTCATAAATGAAGATTCTTTAGATTTAGTAATGTGGATGCTTTGGGGGGAAGGATCCCATAACAAACTTCTGATGCCTCAAGATGTAGGATTATTGTACTCTTACACACTTCTAACTTGTCCATTTTTGGCCTATTTTTAAATTTTTAAAATATTTATGTGTATTAGTGATTTTTGCCTGTATGTATGTCTGTGCACCACATGTGTGTAGAGTTCACGCAGGTCAGAAAGGGTGTCAGATGCCCTAGAACTGGAGGTACAAATGGTTCTGAGCTCTCACATGGGTCAAACTCAGATCCTCTGGAAAAGCAGCCAGTGCTCTTAACCACTGAGTCATCACACCAGTCATTGGCTTAATTTAAACTCATTAATCCACACTTAGACTTATTGCTAGTAAGTAGATACAGCAAACACTTTAGAGAAGACTTGAAAGTAAAGATACATAGAATAATTTTAAAAGGCAAGAGAGAAACTGAGATAGCAAGATTACATTTTTAAACTCAGGCCTTTGGGATGGTAGTAATGGTATCACTGATAAGATTATAGCACTCCACTATTATATGTATTTGGACATCAAGAAATATCACCAGCTAGTAAGTAAAGATATTTTTCCAGGATTAATAACTATCAGTCAGTACCATCTATTTCTAACCAGAAAACTTATGGTCATGATAAAGCTATTAATGATTCCAAGAAAATTAACAAGCAGATATAAGCAATGTAGTCACTCTGTTTTGAAGTCTAACAGTAGTTGAAACAAAGCCGAATCTCTTCACATACTCCAGAAGCATGAAAATTGTGGGTTAACTTTCTCCATGAAAGGCATTTCTCTTATATCATATTTCAGAAAAAGTTGAAACACCAAATTCAGCATTATAGATTGATTGTTTTGCACACATGTTGATGCAGAGAGAGTAGGGAATGGATTTCACCAATATATCATAAAACAACCCATGGCCCACCTCATCAATTTTAAATAACAAAGAGAAAGCCATGTGGGGGAACCCATCAGGTTACAAGAGTGAAAAGCCACCAGCTTAAACATTTAAATAAATAATCCGAGTATAAACAAGAAAAAAGTGAAAAAAATGATAGCATTATGAAAAAGCAAATATTCAGGTGCTTGGAGATATGGAGGTGCCTCTAATCTAACAAGAACAGTCTGACTAGGAGTCCATCTATTGAACGTCACAAAGAAGCTCTTCTGGTTTTTTTTTTTTTATTTTTCTCTTCGCAAATGTCAATGATGTTTTCCCAATTTTTACATAATACAGGACATCTCTATGATAGTAATATCTGGAACCAGGAGAACAAGATCTGAGTTTCTAAAAGGAAGCTAATCTTTTAAAATTCATAATTTCATTTTTGTTTCTAGCTTATAAAATCCCATTGTGTGTAGGTATCACATTTCCATAAAGAGAATATTGATTAAAAAACAAAATTTTTATTCAAATGACTCTGTATGTATTAGTAATTTTAGTAAAAAAGGAAATAAGTAAAAAGAAAGCATTCTGAATGAAATTTGATTAGTTTTTGTTTAAAGATTTAGCATATCCACATTTCTTTTATTTCTACTTCTTCAGCACTGAATGCTCAAATCTAGTGAACAGTGTTCAGCTACCCAGAGAATATGTGAGTTAAGGAAATAGAAGAAAAAGGGATGGTAGTTTTAAAGCAAGGGATCTGGGATTGACATGTAAAGTAATTTTCTTTCTAATAAAAAGGGAAAAATAAATAAATAAAAGCCAGAAAGGAATTGTTTCTTGCTTTTACTTTTACTCCATAGAATTAGCCACCAAAATTAATAACCCTAAGTCTACTTTGATTTTTTTTGGACCAATTGTGAAATCAATTTTAACCTTTCCAATATTTTTAAGTATACGCCAATTGGATTGTGAAATTTAGAGAAAATTTTCACATTCATGACTGAAAAATATCCATAAACTACATATAAATGTGGCTAAAATAAATCTGTAGGAGAAAAAACCTAAAATATATAATGTATGCATTGTCATGCAATAAAATATTAGAGAGGGGTCTTGTAGAACCAACAAAACAGTGGCCGAATCTTTTAACAATATTCTCACTAATTTACACTCTCCTTTGCTATGTTGTGATTCTCTCTAACCACTAGTCTGTAAATATAATAGAATTAAGTATTTTAGGCATTGGCCAAAACTTTTTCCTATCCCTATGATCTAAGTTACATTCACACGCATGCATTCATGCATGTACTTGCCCAGATAAATACATACTATGTGAATGTATTGTAAGGTCCATTAAAATGTAGTCATGTGTTTGCTTTCTGTGCTGCCATTAACAACATCCTAAGGGTATTGTAGAGAAGAAAGAGTGAATGAATGTGCCAAAGGTGCACACTTTATAACTGTTCCATTAATTAAATCTCTCATGTTACTCATGCTACAATTTCCTCCACTGGCCTAACACCTAATAAAAAGACTGTGCATCTTGGGTTTTTAAAAGAGAGCAATAATTTCATGTAAATGTGTCCAATAATGGAAATTTGTTAAATATATTAAAATCCAGGATAACTAAAACAATCCTGTACAATACAGGAACTTCTAGAGGTATCACCATCCAGCTATAGTTGTAAAACCAGTTTGTTTTTTGACATAAAAACAGACATGTGGATCAATGGAATCAAACTGAGGACCCTGACATAAATCCACACACCTATGAACCCCTGATTTTTGACAAAGAAGCAAAAAATACAATGGAAAAAAAGTATCTTCAACAAATGGTTCTGGCATAGCTGAATGGTAGCATGTAGAAGATTGCATATATATATATCTTAAGTCCAAATGGATTAAAGACATCAACAAAAATGCAGTCACACTGGAAAGTGGGAGGGACCCTTGAACAAATTGGCACAGGAGACCACTTCCTGAACATAACACCAGTAGCACAGACACTGAGATCAACAATTAATAAATGGGAACTCCTGAAACTGAAAAGCTACTGTAAGGCAAAGGACACTGTCAATAAAACAAAACAGCTCCCTTTGGAAAGAGAAAAGATATTTACCTAAAGTAATTTCATTCTCATGCAAATATTTTAATGTAAACATAAAGTTTAAAACAATTTTAAAATAATATACATTTTTCTAACATAAGATACAATTCCTTTAAAATATCATCTATTATTTTAAAGTAATTGTCTCATGGATCCGTGATGAAGAAAAGAACACAAAATTTGCTAGAATAAGTCTATTTATCATCACATTAATTTTTTAATCTTTGGGTAATCTCATGTGTTCCCAAGATTGGAGTGCAAATGATATATTATTTTATCTTTTGAGTCTCGTGTATTTTGTTCAAAATACTAATAGTAGTATCAGCTACTAAAGTTTATGGTGTGAGAATTAAATGAGGTAATATGTGAAATCCTGAGCCCAATGTCTGGAGAGTTATACCTTTTCTTTGAAATTGTCTCAAAGAATGTTTTTAATGTAGGGTTATAACTTCCACAATTATTCATTCTATACTTTTCTCTAAATACATTCTATATGTTAATGATATGAACACAGAGATAGGCAAGACACAGAAATGTAGTCTAGACAGAAAGGATTTCAGGTAAAAAAAAATAGTCTAGTCTCTGTTTCCAATGGACAGTGAGCAGATAAATTGAAAGAATGTGGATGAAGCACTTTAAACATCACAGAGAAGGCT